GAGCTGAAGGAGTCAAAATAGTCTATTATACTTAGTAAAATAGAAATATCCAAATAAACTAGAAGTCAGTATAATAAAGTCCACCAAAACAGTTGGACACAAATTTTCCTATTATATGAGAATTTTCATGTAATTCGAGAAAAAGATATGTTCTTTGTTTCCACATATCCTCTTATAGTGCCTATATTTTATGATCACAACCCACTCTTCATTCCAGTTTAACAACTAAGCTTTTTCCTTTCCACATACAAGATTTAGAAGGAATTTGATCATGCTGACCTTTTGATTTTAACAACCCAGAATTAACCTAATCGAGAATGGAAATAATGTGGAAATGCTACAGATCAAGCCTCTCTGATTCAAATCATTTAACACATTAATTCTGACAGCTGGAAAATCTTACTCTGAAAAAAATGTCAGCAGCACGTTTAATGACGAAAAGCAAGAAGCACGAGCCTCTTCAAAATTCAGAATGACGCACTATCCATCTCATACTTTACAGAACCGCCTCTATCACAAATCATTTTATCCTCTCATCTCTGAAGCACCCCAGACACGTTCTTTAACCATGAATTCACAAGCCTTTACTCTGCGTGAGCCTCGGAATCAGCAACCTCTTGAGCCAGCGCGGGAAACGGGGAAGGAGCCCATGGCGTTCACCTGGGTTTGCTGAAGACAACGAAGCAGAAAAGAATGCTTTGCTTCCCTTGGCCTCTGTGTTCCCTGTTAATGTGTAGCGGGTCATTGTTGGGAAATATTTCCTCACCTGACGTTCCAAGAAATGGAGGACCTCACAGTTGTTTTATGGCTCAGTCATTAAACGCGTGAACGTTCCATCCTGCCGGAATCACTGACGGAACCAGACTGTGGTCTGAAGTCCTTCTCAGAAACGCTGCCACCATGTGGCACGTTGGCGCTATGACCGGAAGAGCCCTATAGGTCATGTGGTTCATCTCAACATGGCTGGGCTCCAGCAGAATCTATTCCTATAACTTCCTAAGTTCCTATTAAATCACTCCCGCGGGCGCAGAGTAAACCGTAGTGAATCCTGTGGAAATCTTGGGGTTTTTTTTAGAATATGTGAACTTCCCTCCGCTACACTGACAATCTGACAGCTTAAGTGGGTTATGTGTTTAAAGGGAAAAAAACAGTTTTTAAGAGCAGAAATAAGAAATCTGTTTTTGCAACGTTATAACCCGTGTGCTTTGTATTTTACAGAGATAGCTGCCATCTGAATTATTAAAATGTGTGCTTAGAACCCACAAATCAACAATATCAATTCATTTGAAACACATACAATTTAAAAGAGATACATTTCCTCCCACCAAGTGTCTACAAACCTATGGATTAATTACGTTAACACTACAAAAAATTATTCAACCGTATTTATATTAAAAGTAATACTTGGGGGCTTCCCTGGTGGCACGGTGGTTAAGAATCCGCCTGCCAGTGCAGGGGACACCGGTTCAAGCCCTGGTCCAGGAAGATCCCACATGCCACGGAGCAGCTAAGCCCGTGCACCACAACTACTGAGCCTGCTTGCTGCAACTCCTGAACCCTGCGTGCCTAAAGCCGGTGCTCCACAACAAGAGAAGCCACCGCAATGAGAAGCCCGCGCAGCACAAGGAAGAGTAGCCCCCATTGCCGCAACTAGAGAAAGCCCACGCACAGCAACAGAGACCCAACACAGCCAAAAATAAATAAACTTATTTTTTTTTAAAAGCAATACTTGGTAAATAGGAGTTGACACCTTAATACAACCAATAATAAATAGGAACATTTAACTTTAATCTCACTTTACACATGATTCTTACAATGGAGGTGTGAGATAAATTAATAGTGCAATCTCCATTTCACAGCTGAGAAAGGTAGATGAAGAGGTTAAGTAATCTCAAAACAACATTAAATATTTAAAGTGGACTCAGAGCTCTGCAACCCCTAATTTCTGTTCCAATATTCAACCTTCAACTGTAAATTTTTTCATTCAAACACCTTATGAATACCCTGTAAAGTTTTTTTTTTAATATAGAATTTCCTTTTTAATTTTCTTATTAAGTAACTAACTTTATATATCCTGGGAGAAAAATTAGAAAAAGACAATTCAGAAATCTAATCCAGCCCTTCAGAGGTGTGCAAATTATCCTGCCGATGTACACAGTTTAAAAAAAAAATCTTACACCTGGGGCTTCCCCGGTGGCGCAGTGGTTGAGAGTCCGCCTGCCGATGCGGGGGACACGGG